TCACCATTTCTTAAAATTTGCATTTTTGTTAAAGCCATCAGGGTCTGGTTTTTGTCTTCTGCCTCCCTTTTGCACCATTTCTCCTGGTAGCTTGAAGTGCACCTGCACTGACATGTGCACCTGCTTCTGCAAGAATTGCTTGAATTTGTACCTTGTGGTGACAGTTAATGCCAGCAGTTATGTTGGATGTGAGCATTGAGCTGGATTTATGGATCTTGTTTCAGCAAGGATTTAGTGAGCATTGTTTTAAGTCAGTCCATTCTTTCCATTAAATAAAGCTGTTCTGGGCAAGCCTGTCCAAACTGGAATTCATCAGTCTCAGATTCATATTGTTTTGCTTCCTTCCTTTAATCTCTGTTCCATGCTGTGAGGGTTGTGTTGGGTTGTTTTTGTTTTCCTTGGAGCTTGAGCAGACACTGTTTTTTTATGTAACTGGATGGAGACACTGCAGGACTGAAAAGATGGTCTATATGTCACCCCAGTGAGGTGAAAGCTTCAGGCAAAATGCAGCACTTCCCTTATGTGTGTGGACACACACTCCCTTCATCTTGCACCCCTTTAACTGATGATGATACCTGAAAACTGAGCCAGCACTCATGAGCCAGGCTCTTACAGGCACTCATCTTGTCCAGGACTTGAAAAAAAACAACATTTGTCTTGGGAAAGTGGAAAAAATGAAAAACCTTTTCCTATACTCAAACAGGATTAGTGACAGCATAAGTGTTGCCTGCTATCAGTGAGCTGATGTGCACAATTGTTCTTGGAAGCACAGAAATCTATGAAAAATATGCAATTTGGGGTTTTTTTAATACTTTGTCCATAGCAGCTTGTGCTCTTCAGAGTCTGCTCTTTATTAATCTCCAGATCAGGGGGAAGGAATCTCCCTCCTGCTTGTTTTTGTGTTTCCAGTCTTCTTCCAGCTTGGCTCTGGAGCACCATGGCATCCTTTGACCTCCTTTCAGTGGCTCTGTTGGAGTGAGGCTGGCTGGCTTTGGGCCCTTAAACCATTGATCTTGTGAGATCAAGGCTGCAGAGTAGATGGCAGCCAGAAAACCAGCTTGCTGAGTGCATGATAAAACACAGTGCTGCTTGTTTTTTTTTTTTTGTTTTTTTTTTTTTTAACTCAGTCAAACGATAAGTGAATTTAGGGTTGCTTCTGCACAGATTTTCAGTGGTTTGGTTTGTGAAAATTCTATGGTACAGGTGTCACTAGCAAAGTCTTAACATTGTTTTTTGAAAGGTCTCAGAATTCAAATGGAAATGAACTCTTTAAGTGATGCCTTTAGCTCTGGGATGCTTGAAATCTCTAATAATTTCATATATTTACTTTGATGGGAAGTTTTGACATAAAATCCCTCCTGCTGGAAGTGCTCACCTGCTTGATTTTATGCTCCATGTGAGATACTGATACAAATACATAGCACAGTGGGTATTGTAATCTACAGAGATCACCTTTGCCTAAGTGGATTTAGGTAACTTCCCTATATAACATTCAGTTACCTTCAAATTTTCCATTGTTTAAATGCTTTGGAATTCCTTTAGAAATCTCTCATCCACGCATAAATATTTCTTCTCTTTCATAACCAAAAGGTAGCAACTTTCCAGTATTTATTGTACCTTATTTTTCCACTTGGTGATTCTCCATTTCATTCCACTTAATGTATTAGATAAGATCTGCAGATTTGTGGGTTTTATTCTGTCTTTCCTAATCAGTTCATTGTACTCATCTGTGTCTCCAACTTAAATTAGCCTAAGGGAGTGTAGAACAGTTCTTGTGTGATTGCTCCACTGCAAGTCTTTAGAATGTTCTGGATCTTCAGCAGATACTCAGAGGTTTGAACAAGACTACTTAAACCCTGCATCTGCCAAACTCTGGTCAAGTTGTTGATGCTTGCCTTGTAGTTTTCAACAGCAAGCTGAACAAATATGAACAAGCACTGGAGGAGAAGTTGGTCATCCATTTGTATTTTGAAGGCATTTAAGAGGTTTGAAAGCAGCCCAAGTTAATGAAAAGCTGTGTTGATGTCTCCAGCTCGTTCAGGATGGAGCAGTGGGTGGAGGTATGGAGGAACTCATCACTAAGCAAAATTCCTGTCCCTGGGCAGTGAGGTGTGGCTGCAATCCAGGGCTCAACATGTTTGCTTTTGTTTGGTGTAGCTCTGGGCTCTCTGATGTCTTGGCTGAGGCCTGTGGCCGTGGGGACTGGACTTGTTGGAGTGGCTGTGGAGGGAAGGTGTGGGCCAGGGCAAAACAGTGGAGCCTGATTGGACTGGCTTGATTTAGCCTGTTCTAAATGGGACAGACTCAAAGGATGAAAATTAAAAAAGAAAATTCTGGTTAAAGCAAACTTACTGATGATTCTGGACGTTCATAGAACATAGTGTTTAACACAGCTGACATTTCAGAGATCTGTGTCTAATATAAGGTACATGGCAGGAGAGGGTTTGGCCATCAGATTCTCTCTCACCACATTAGTTCATGTTTCCTGAGAGCTGTGTACTTATGCTTGGTACTAACTCCAGGCATACAGGGAGACTTGAAAATGAGAAGTCAGAAATGCAGCACAGCCCCTTGCAAGGCTGTTAGGGCCCAAATAAGAGGACAGCATTTTTTGGGGCCTGTGTCTGAGGCACCTGAATTTGGCTGTGCCACTGGGTTGCTTAAGTGCCTGCTTGACAATATTGCTGTTTTGGGGGGGGTTATTTCTCTTGCCTTTGAGGACAAGTGGGCAGAAGGAGATGGGAAGCCTCATGGAATAATAAATGCAGTGCTGGGTATGAAGAAGGATCAAGAGCTGCTCAGGGACATAGCCTCTCTCTTCCACTTCCTTCTCAGTTCCACTGAAAACTTTCAAGAGATAAGAGTAGCAGGATGTAGTTTAGTCAAGGATGGAGCTAAAGCAATTCCCTCCTTTGACCTCAACAAACATTTGCTTGTTGTCTCAAACCAAGGTGAGAAATAGTTTTAATTACCCATCTAGCTAGCTCCCCCCTGAGAGGGATTGAGCAGCCTCCTGACACACTGTTTACTGCTGCTGAGTCACTGTATGTGCCTGGGCAGGTGTTACCTTGCATCTGCAGCTCTGTGAGCTTCTCCAGCCTCTGGATTTGTCCTCACAGCCCATCAGTTACCACAGAATTGCTCCCACTTCTCCAGTGGTGACCTGAAGCTCAGTCTGTGACCTCCCCATCCACGAAGGTTTGTGGAGAACACAGTCTGGATTCCCTGGATTCCTGTCCAGTGCTCTCACCAAAGAGAGCTATTGCTTTGGCATAAATTTTTTGCTTTGAAATGTCACGTTCCTGTTTAAATTGTGCTCTGTGATGCTGGGAGAAGAGCTGCTGATGCACACACCAAAGCCATTGTCTCAGAGGGGTTGGAGCTGTGACACTTCAGCCCATCTCAGAGGGGCCTGGGGCCAGCTGGCCAGGGAGAAGATGCGTGTTCCTCTGTGTACTTCTTTCTTTTTCTAAAATAGCTTTAGCCTTGTATTTTTTTGATCCAAGTGTACTAATGCAGAAATAGTGCTTTCTTTTTCTTTTTTGTGTCTTCCATGAATGGCTATAAAAAAAAAAATGCCCTGTAGCAGTTAGTGCCTCACAAAGAATTTGTTTTTCTGCTTCCAGAGGGCTTTGGCTTCTCTGAAAATGGGTCATTTTCAGAGTGAGTTTGGCACAGGCTCTTCCCACATCTGGCTTGGTGACCTCACTGCTCTCTCCTCACCTGATGCACCTCTCACCTGACTGGAAATGGAGAAAAGGAGGGGATCAGGGAGCTGTTACCAAGCAGCAAGGAGGCAGCATTCTGTCAGTGTCAGGTTCAATGAATGGCCTCAGTGTTTGGAGGCACTGAGGAATTTTGGACAAACAGTCCAGTGAGTCACAAAAGGTCTTTGGGAGGGAGGCAGAGGGCAATGTTGGGATGCAGCTGGTACTGTTTCAGAAACTTTATTTGTGCTGAATTTGATATCGCTTGTGACTCTCCTGGGATCTCCCAGAAGCACCAGAATATTTGGGTGTTGGTCTCCCACACCAAGTATGGTGAAACCATATTTAGGAGTGTCTTATCCTACATAATGCCTCCTGCTCAGCACACTGTGCTGCAAACATCTGCAAATGAGGTGTCCTTAATTTCTTTAACCAGGCAAGGATTAGCTGTGTGGCCATCTCCAAACAGAGCACTGCAAGCCAGTGCAGGTTGCTTTTGAGTCCCTGGTTGAGCAAGTTGGTTGTATCACTCCTGGAAAGCAGCAGCAAGAGAACTGACAGTGGGATCATCCTGCTAAAATAGGATCTCCCTGGCAGTTTGGTTTGGAGAGGGTTTGTCAGCCAAAGCCCTGCATGGCACAGTGGCAGGGATGAATTTAGCATCACACACACACATCTGGCAAAGCTCTGCAGCCTGGGACCCTGCAGAGCTCTGGGAGCTTCCCAGAGCCTGGAGAGGCTGATCAGGAGCTGCCCCCAAGTCCCTGAGCTCTGGCTCTGGGAGCACCTGGGCCGTTGTCACATTCTCTGGGGAATGGACCAGGCTGATCCTGCTCAGAGCACTGGGAGCTGCACAGAGCTGTGGTTGGCATTCCCAGGACTAAAGGAGTCTCCTGGATCCAGCCTGTGCTCACCTAACTGTGCTGTAAAGCACTGACTCCTGGTTGGTGCCCAGGGCCAGTCACCAAAAATGGAGCATCTGTGGTTTGATCTGTTTTGAGGAAAGGCTTTGTGTACAGCAGTTTCTGTGGAATTCCAGAGGAGTTCAGTGTCCAAGACCTGGTGAAACAAAGCCTTAATTGTTTAATGAAATTTGCAAAGAAATGGAGCATCCTGTTAGACTTCGACTTGCCATGGTCCAAACATTGTCCTCTTACCTAATAAATTGGATTTCATTCTTAATTTTTATTCTCTTGTCTCAGAAAGAAGTTGTACATTTCTAAATAAACAGTGTAGCTTTTTAGGTTGGAGGCATAACTTGACTAAAATCTGTTTCTTCCTCCTTTTTTTCAGGAATTCTCAGAAGTGGAGAAAAGAGATCCTCAGGAGCTAGTTGGTAAGTTCACTCAAAGGTATTTATTCACAGGTTTTGATTCATGCTAGACCTTGTAAGTCCCACTTCATAAAAAAGATCTTCCATCTTCCCTGGCAATGCTGTAATTTCAATTACTGCCTGAATATTTTCCATGAACTTTTCTTCTGAGAGAAAGGCTTCATGCCTAAAAATAGGAAAATAATTTCATGTTTAAAACATGTATGTAAAGGGCAGTGTTGGTGTTTTTCTAGATGAGCTTAAAACCAATAGTGTAGCTTTGTCTAGCCAGTGGAAGCAGGAGTGAAGACTTTGTTCTGTGGCTTCCAAAAGTCACTAAAAGTATCCCCATTTAAATGTGAGCCACTTACAGATTTACAGCTGCTGTGCTGACATAGTACTCTATATTTTCTAATAGTTACTAAAACTTGATTTTTTGTGACATCTCATTTATTCATTGCACCATTATTAGATTTGGAAAGTCCAGGGTTGTCAGCTTGAAATACAATAATCTGCTTGGTCTCTTTGGAGCTGCACAGAAACTGCATTTTATATTGCATTTCTGGCTGTCTTGCACTGATCCTCTGTTCCTGAGGTTACTCCTGCAGTTGTGTGGTATCATTTAATAACATCAGTAAAAACGAATGAGTTTGGAAGTTGCTTCATCTCTCAAATCAGTTTGATATTTCAGCCTTAAAATGTGGTTAAGTGTAAATTAAGATGGTAAATACTCAGGTGCTCAGCTGTGACTCCTGCAGCAGCCATCACTGAAGTGTAGGATTTATAAATCCTTTGTAGTTGGCTTGCACAGTCTTTGCCACTGCTCTATTGGATTTTCTGCCTTTAGAGGGCAAAACTGCTTCAACCAATCTCATCACTAAATGCAACAGAAATCTTTCTCCCATCTACTCATCCTCCTCAAAATGCACCCTGGGAACACAGATGAGACAACAGCATTTGGGGTAAAAAGTACAGCAAAATCTCTGGAAGCAACTGCTCTTTTCCTCTGTTTTCCATATGGGTGAAGCTGTGCAGTTGTGAAGCAATGTAGGAAGTCCTTTCTTAATGAAGGTGTAAGGCTCAGGTTACAATTCTGTTAGTCCCCTTTTCACACAGTGACTGCCCAGACTGGATTCTTTCTCTCACCATGGCCCAGACTTGCACATGGGTTTAAAAGCAGCACAGGGAGCACTTGGTAGTGTCACAGGTCATGGGTGAGCAGTGTTGGACAGTCTGAGACCTGGACTGAGGTCTCTGCAATCTTATCTTTAATATCCTTTCCCAACAGCAGTGTGCAGGCTGGCTTTGTGCAGAACCAGGTTATTAGAGGTCAGCATACTTGCCATACTGGATTCTGTAGGTCTGTTCCATTAGACCATATCTTATCTAGTTAAAAGGAACTGTTGCAAGAGACTTACAGTTGGAGTAATGTAGGAACCACTCCCTTTCTGGAAACTTGGACTTTCACAGTTAAAATTCTTTAATGGAAAAAGGTGCAAGATTTTCTCACACAAAGTGAGTAACTGCTCCAATCTGGACACCTCAAGTTTTGTCTATCAGTCTATGGAAATCAAGGTCCTCCTTGGATAGTTTTCTACATCTGCTTTTTGCATTAAAAGAGGGCAGGCCTGCCCTTCTCAGAAGATAACCCTACATTTTTCAGCATCACCTTTATTAAAGCCTGTGATTGTTCAGTTGCTTAAGTATTAAATAAATGTAGGCTCCTGCCAAAAGCACTGTTTGTGTTTTACCTCCCCGGATGCACAATAATGTTGGAGCACTCTGGGAGTGGGAGCCAGCTGGGATCCATCTTCACTGCTCTTTTTTTGTTGTTTCTTTTTTTTTTTTTTTGTTCTTTCCCGTGAGGTTTCCAGCTGGATCCATTCCCTGATGTTCTTAGTGCAAGTTAGGTGAGCACTGGAGTTGGCACAAAGAAAACAGTAGGGATGAGCTGCTGGGAAGGGGAAGGGCACAGTTGTCCTGACTTATGCCAAAGTAGTGATCACATAATCAGTGGCTGGCAGAATGAGAGGGAAGGTTTCAGCCCCATGGTTGAGAAGGAAATATGTGTGAAACTTACTTTCACAGATTTCTACATCAGCATTGTCCTTTGGGGCTTTTTGTACCACTCTGAATCACAGTTCATGGTGCTGTCACGACATTGCATTTGCTGTTTCCTGCAGCCCTGCAAAATAATACTTTAAGGATGTAGGGTGTTTTGCCCTGAAGTTCTTTGCAGCATGGTTGTTTACCTTTTGGATTGTAAGAAATGTTCTCTCCAGCCCTTGGGACATCTAAGCACAAAGTCAGTGCTCATAAGAGCAGAAAGGATGGCTGAGTTGCAGGTCTCCATCTGCATTTCTCAGCCCACGGAGCAGAAAGGGACCTGGTGTCCTTCCATGGATGGGTGACTCACTGGCATGTTATTGTCTCCAGTTCTTCCCTCTGATTTGGCTGTTCTGGTGCCAGGAAATCAGAACCCCCCCCCCCCCCCCGGTTTATGCCAAGCAGCTTTGACTGGAGTGCCAGGGAATGCAGTTGTAGAGGGCAGGCACCACCGGTTTGCGTGTCTCCAGGGGAAGCCCTTGTTGCTCTGATCACCCTTTCCTTGTTTTTATTTTTTTTTTTTTTTTTTTTTTTTGTATAGTGTGACCTTTAAAAAGAAACTGGCACCTGAACTGCCTCTGATCCCTTGTGGCTGCTTCAAACACAGCATATAAGTGACCCCTGAAAGGGACAGGAGTTCTTCATCCCACCTGGAGCAGCGTTAATCCAAGAGCCATGATCCACACTGTGCCTGTCCTATACAGCCAGCTCTTGTGCTCTCTGTTCTTTTGGTTTTCTCTGCACTAGGAAAACATTCCTACCCATCTGCACGAAAACAAATTCCTGTGTGCTCTCTGACAGTGTCTCCAGCACAGCCTTTGGACTGGGAGCAGTCATTTCCTTCTGGAAGTGGAGCTCACAGTTTGCACTGTGCCACTTTCTCTCTTTGCAGATTTGTCTCCTGCTATTGGGTAGAGGTCACATAATCCATCTATCTCAAACTGAAGCACATTAAATGTAGCATTTCCATTTAGTTTTCTGCCTTACCAAGATCTGGTGAGCAAATCCTTGAAATCTGTGAAATACTCTTCACTGAATGCTGAGGTGCTGAGTCTTTGCAAAATTGCTTTGGCCTGCTCTGCATGGCCTGGGAGCAGAGGAGTGGCTCTCCTTTACCACAGTGCATGTGCTGACTGCACAAAAAGCTACAAACGCCTATTGCTTGTGCTGAAGGCTTTAATTTTTAGGTCAGCTTGTGGAAGGAGAATGCACAGACTAAGCACCAGCAGCAGTGTCCTTTAGCAGCAGGAAGCTTTCAGGGGCAGTGGCCCCTGCTTTCTTGAACCCCCATCTGACTCATGGGATCTGCTTCACAGCCCTAGTTCTTTGTCAGCACTGAGAATCTGATTGGGGAAGATATTTACTTACTGTGAGCCAGAATCTGGGTGTGCCTGGAGTGATTAATTGTGCCAACAGCCACTTCCTGAGGTCCACACTTGGAGATCCTCTAGGCTGTGAGCCTGCAAATCACAGGGCAAATTAGGGGCTGAAGCCAATGTCACTACCTGTGACTCATGTCAAAGTAAAACTTTGGTCTTGACAGGAATAACAGGATGCACAGAGCAGTTGGATGTATCCTGTGAGGACACACCTTGTTGTGAGCTGTTCATCTGCAGTTATTGCTGTGGACATGGTGGAAAGCTGCCCTTGGGACATGGAAAACACAAAATGTTTTATACAGGAGTGTGTGGCCATACATGCAAGTGCCAGGATTCTAATCCCAGCTGCCCTTTCCTCTAGGGAAAGAGCTGGTGGGAAGGTGCTGTGGAATCAGCCATTCTGTGTGGGGAGCAAGTCTGAGGACTGCTGGAGGGCATGGATAATTTGTATTTCCTTACTGTAAATAAGCCCAAAGGGGTTAAACTCACCCTGTTCTTCCCAATGATGTGGCACCTCAGTCTGCCTGCAAAGTGATGAAATAACTGAGTAATGCTGCAAGTTTGTGCTCAGTTTGTCAGGTGCCTGTCCTGCCTTGCTGCTGGCATTGCTCAGCTGCCTCCAGCCCTGGTGGGATTGCAGGAGGCAAAGATGCCTTAGTTCCAGCTCCTTGTAAACCATTAAAAGATGCTTTCCACCATAATGTTGACAAAGGATTATTTTCACAAGGCTCAAACAAAAGAGGAAATGAGCACCAAACCTGAAAAATCATGCATCAAAATATATTGTCTCATTGGGAGCTCTTGTTCTGCTTCCAAAGTGGTTTATTTTTCAAGGGGGCTTTGAGTGGATTGCTGAAGATATTCTTATGACTTTGACTTTTTTTGAAGGTAAAACAGAGGTCCTGCCCAGAGTTTCTGAGTTTATATGAGCATACAGTTCCCCTTCCCATAAATGTTTTGTTTCTCTGTGGCTCATCTCCAAACACAAGGGAGCCTGTATGTGGAGCTAGGCTTGATTTTTTTTTTAAAAGGTGCTTTCTTTGCCTTATGAAATCTGGATTTAATGGTCTTCTTTTTAATGCTTATGCTGTGAACTTCTTAAGCCACTAATCAGCTTTTACCTTTCCCAGCAAGCCTTGTGTGCTGTGTATTACCCACACTTGTGTGTCTTTGCCACTGTCTTTCTGGGTTTCCTGAAGCTCTAATTAACCCAGAGGCCTCCCCATCCCACCAGCAGCTGTAACCTGTAACAAATGTGTGCCTTGTTGTCAGGGAGCTCCCTTTGCCTGCCTTTCTTTGGGGACTCTGGCAAGCTTTCCTCCTTCCATAAAGGCTCCCACTTGGTAAATGCCAAAGGACACTTTTTGTTCGTTACTGGCAACTGCTGAAGAATTTAACCCTCAGCAACATCTTGATCAAATAGAATGAGTGGTCGCCTGCCAGCTTTTCCTCTCCAGAGGATATTGTCCTTAGTGCTTCACATTTTCACAAAGGACATGGAAACTGTAGCAGCAGTGATGGTGTGTGGTGTTGTTTATCTGTGGCCTCAGCTCTCCAGGGTTCCAGCAGCCCTCTCTGGCCTTTGGGCCCTCCTGGCCTTTTTCCAGAGGAGCTGAACTCTGGGTGCTGGAGTTGTAGCCCAGGCAGCTTTGCTGAGGAATGTGTAACTGAGGAGCTGCACATGTGAACAGCTTGGTCGATGTGACTTGTGTGCTGCTCTCAGGTCTCTTATCCACTACAGAGCAACTCTGGGATGTGTTCCCTGGGCAAATTATGCTTGAGAACAATCCCAGCTGCTTAAATGGGGCACAAATCTCTGCTCCAAGGCTTGGCCAGAGAACTGCCTGGATTTCCCATAATAGTGGGAAAGTAGCAAGCAATAGGGGGAAATGTGGCCATTTCTTTTGCTGATAACTCTGTAAACTAATCTTTATAGGGCAGTCAGGTATTTTAGTAGTATATCCCAGTACAAACAGCTATGGAAATTTGGCAATCTGGACTGGGCTGCTCCCAGTCCTGCAGGACGAGTTGTTCTTTCTAGCAATATTCTGTCTCTGTAAGCAAAGATCAAAGTGCCTGTTAAGGAAGTATTAACTTAAGGATGAAATGTAATTTCTTGTGGTTAACTCTTGACAGCCTTGGGGAGCGTTGTTCTCTCTTTGAGCCATTTTGGTTCATCCAGGTATGCCCTGAACTAAATACTCACCAAGTGATCATCTCCCCCAAAATGGCAAAGAGCCAGACTGCATAAAATTGATCCTGTGCTCCTCCACATGCATGGTCCCATTCTCTCTCCAAGAGTGTAGGTATCAGTAAAACAAGCATCACATCCCCTCTTCTAATGACCCAACCTTCAGGTTCTTTATTTGCTTCTTGCTCAGCACCTTGAAAACACCACAAGTACCAGCTGTCAGCATTCTCATCACCTTTGCCCTGGGTTCCCAATGAGGGAGTAGTGCTGACAAAGACATAAAACAAGTTTAATGACTTGTATGGCTGAAATTTCCATCAGTAGTTCCCAAACTCATCCCAGTTTGCTCTCTCCAGCTTCTTTTTCAGAGAGAGTGCGGAACATGTCTCCAGATGAGATCAAAATCCCTCCTGAGCCTCCTGGCAGATGTTCTAACCAATTGCAGGTTGGTATACAAGTCCACTTTTTTTTTTTTCTTTTTTTCTTTTTTTTTTTTTTAAGATTTGCCAGTCAGGGCATATTTGGGAACCCTGCTCAGTAATTATACACAAGGTAAAGCTCCAGTATTAAAGCTGGGTTTTACCATGCTGAGTTTATGAATGCACTGTGCTAATGCTTTAGGCTTTACAGCAGTTCTAGTTTAGGAATCTCAAAGTAGCTTTAAGCTGCTTTCCAGCCCCTGTGGGTTAATTATGCTTTAAAACAGCTCTTGATCCCAGCAGTGACACAGAAGCAATGTTTACTGTCAGGGCTGCTTTCCTCTTACCTCAGCAAATTCAGCTCCCTAGCAAAGAACAAATTGTTTTTCTATACAGGCCCGAAATCCCCTAAACTGGAATAGTTGAGGCAGCAATGCCTGGATTCCTTTTCCACCTACATGTCTCTGGATGGTAAACATTTAGAGGGAAGGCTGGTAGCTTAGAGGCAACAAAAGAACACAAGCACATGTTTTCTCTGGTGCATACCCAAATAACAGCAGTGACCAAGTTTGCAATAACCTTCTGTGTTCTCCTCATGGAGTGCAAATGAAAGAGCAGGGACTGCTGTCTGCTAACACACACTGGAGTTTTAACTCTGGTTTTCTACCCAGCAGAAATTAACATAAAGAATCACTCCTGGACTGCTCTGTAAAGTAGCCCCTAAAATGCAGTGGTGATTCAGGGTGACTCACCATCCAGATGATGCTTTCTTCACACACTGTACCTGGGCACACCCAAACCTCCTCTAGTGCTGTAGCAGGATTTTACTGCTCTGACATCAGTGAACTGGAGTGTGTTAGACCTGAGGAATGCACAGAGCTTGACAGGGCAGACAGAATAAAGCAGAATTTTTCCCCTTTGACAGAAGTTTAGTGTGTTACATCAAAGAGAGCTTGTCCTCTCTTGGCAGGTCAGACCACATCTTAGAGTACTTTGAGCAAAGAGATGGGATTGTTCCTTAGAAATGCAAAATGTTCTGGGCTTTTCACTTGGTGGTTTGCTCTTTTGTCAAATTTTTCCTCTGATAAACTGTATTTTGAACTCTGCCAAAGGGAGGACTTCTTATTATAAAGTTGACTGAGTAGTTGCCCATCTGTGGACTTGGGGAACCTCATTGCTACTCCATGGGGAGGGGATGAAAGGGAACACCTATTCAGTCATTTCTACTCCCCAGATTCACCTTTTTGTAGTTTGGTCCTTCAAACCTCACAATGTATTGCTGGACGTGGGGATGGTGTCATTTCCTCTTGCTGATTTTGTGACAACCTGATGAAAACTTACCTTATAAAAGTTTTTTTAAGGTTGTTGAGTTTCATATCAGCTCTTAACAATCCTCCTTTATTCAGGCTGCAGCAAGCCCTCAGACAATAGTCAGCTCTGTGTTTGACTGTCCAGGGAGGGAGACATGAAGTGACTTATCCAGAAGCAACAAAGGAAAATTGACTCAGCTTCTCCCATCCTGAAAGACTGAAGGCCCAGCTCTGGTCTTGTTTTATGTGCCTCTTGTACATGAGAAATTTCTGTCATAAAGAAAAGATTATGGAAATTACTGAGGATATTTTAGCAGTACCACTTAACTCTCTGATCTGTCTGAAAGCTCCTGCCTCTGCTGTCCCTTCACCATCACCACAGTAGGAATTCTTTTATGTACTTTCATCCACCTTACTGAGGAAGGAAAAAAATCATGTTTGATTTCAAATATTTTTGCCTTTTTGGAGAGTAGCCTGCTTAACATCTGCAACCTGGGTCAGTTAAGTTGCCTTTGGCACGGGCTTGTGCCTTGTGGGTGATGTGCAGAGAGCAGCTGATTCCATCTGACTGCTACCAAAGCAGGGATTTATGAGCACATTGTTCCTAAGAGCATTTGGCTGCAGTGGGCACCCCCAGCAATACCTGATGATCACACTGGGTTTAGTTCTCCAGCAGAACTTGGCTCTGCTCTGGGTAACAATGAGCAGGAACTTTGCCCTGTGGGCAGTGTAGCCCAGCTGCTGTTTCTCAGGTGCTCACCTGAGGCTGCAGGTGGGTGTTGGTGGTTGCTGAGAGTTGTGGGGGAACTTCTGGATTTCAGAATTGGCTTTTCTGTGTCGTGGCTGTAAAGGGAAACAACAGCCTGGGAAGGAGTCTGTGCCTTGTATGCAGATCTTTAATCACTAAAGCCTTCAGTAAGTGCAAAGAGAATTCCTTTACCAGTCAGACAGTTCATGAAGGTACTTCAGACACTCAAGGAAGAAGTGTCTCATGAGCAGCCTGGCCCTGGTGTAAAGGTGAAATCCTAGCTCTGTTCAAGGAGGTCACTGGTTCAGTTGGCTTCTTTCCACATGTACAGGAATCAGCTGGTGTGCTGCTCCTTTTCATCCTGGCTCACCCTATAATCTTCCTCCTGTAGGATAAAATTCAAAAGCTGTATGAGAGGAAAGTGAAAGAGGGCATGGATATGAACTACATTATCCAGAGGAAAAAGGAATTTCGCAATCCCAGGTGAGCCACCATCTTTTCATGTGACCACAGCACCACAGAGCTAATTTGAAGAATTTTCTTCTTTGTTGGAGTTGTTGCAAAGGATCCTGAACAGGAAGGACTACTGCTTACAAATTGTCTTTCTCAATTTTGTGACTGAAACAGTAAAACTCCTCTTTGTGTTTGGTAAAGCAGCAGCTGGAATTGGTGTGTTGGTTAGATTCCCAATGTGAAGGCTTGGGATGAAGTACTTTAGAAGATGTGACTGTTCTGGGAGCTGGGAGATGTTTTGGGGAATGGGAAATACTGTGCATAATGGGGTGCCACATCCATCATAGCAGGTGTAGCTTCCCAGGTTCTCATTTCACTTTGTAGTGTGAAGAGGTGACAACCTCTCTCTGTTGGCACATCTGAAACACTTCTGTTCCCTTCTACCTCCCTGCTTCTGTTCTGACCTCTTGCTTTTCCTTTGCAGCATCTATGAAAAGCTGATCCAGTTTTGTTCCATTGATGAACTTGGAACAAATTATCCAAAGGTGAGAGGCAGTGCTTTTGATGAAAAAGAAGTGGGTAAAGGTAACACAGAGATGTAAAGTCTCACCTCAGGCTTTCCTGAGGTGTTGTAATGCAACCTCAGTCTGAGCCTCTGCAGTGAAGTGAACATTTTTGTGTAGCACTGAGCCTCAGTGCCTCAACCTTTGCTACAATGATTCTGCACAAAACCACTGAAGTGTGGAGCTCTGAATGGAACTCCTTGAGGGGGGAAAGAAGCTGAGTAACAGAAAAATGCATGACTTACCCCAACATCCTTTTTGCTCCAAAGCTGTTTCTTCATTCACAGCAGAACATGGTCCCATAAAAGAAGGTCTGATGGGACCTTTGTGTCACTGGGATAGAGGAAGAAATCAGTGGTGATTCTCATTGTCACCTCTGATTATCATCAGAGAACAGAAATACGTAAAGCATTTTTGCACTGGGTTTTGTGTTTCTGTGGGAATAGCCCTAATCTGGTTTATTTCTTTTTTTTCAGGACATGTTTGATCCTCATGGCTGGTCAGAGGATTCATATTACGAGGCACTAGGTAATTCCAGGAAGTCTCTTTTTTGTCCTGGCTTAGGTCTTTGTGTTTTGTACTTAATTAACTGCACTGGAGTCTTCACTTTATGTATAAATGAGAAGTCATCACATGCTGCTCTTTAATGATTCCATTCTGGTTGGATGTGCCTGAATGTTACTGATGCTTCATCAGCTTGGAAAGACTTTTTTAAATTGGTTCTGCAATGTTTTCATCTCTGAAATGACTAAATTAGTGCTGCAATGCTTTGATTAAAAAGCAGCAGTTGCTTTCATGGAAGTTTAATTTTTCTATATAGAATCTGAATCTATTTTTTTTTTTTTAATCATGGGAAGTGTGTGAATGAGAACTGCTGAATTTTACATTTCTTAGTGCTTCACATCTTCTGCTCTTTCTCAGCTAAAGCCCAGAAGATCGAGATGGACAAACTGGAGAAGGCCAAGAAGGAACGCACAAAGGTACCTGCTCAAAACCTAAAGAGATGCAGGTGCAGGGCTTTTCTTTCTTTCCCTGCTGGATTTAATTCTATTTCTTTGCTATTTCTGTGCTAAATCTGCTTGTTTTATCCCAGATCTCTCCTTTCTTGCATGTCCTTTCCCATACTTCACAGATCAAGTTATTTGTCCTTCCTTATAGGTCCATTTATAGGTTGTTTATTCTGCTGGATTTCCTCCTGTTTTGTCAGTATTTTTAAACCAGGGCTCTAAAAATGGCATTCAGTAAGTCAGGTACAGGCAAGATAATGAATAAAAAACAGCTTTTTCCTTAATTTATGACATTTTGCCTGGTGCCTAGCCTAGTTAAAGCTTAATTTCCTCACTATGTCTCAGTGTGACAGAATACCTGCTTTCTGTTCTCTGTGATATTAACTTGTTGCATCCAATTTCCCAAAAAACTGGGCCTGTTTTAACTTTGTGCATTTTGTGACAAGCCCAGTTATTCTTAGATATGCCCCAAAAAGAACACAGACAGACTTTGGAAGAGATTTCATTCCTGTCCTGTGTTTCCTTTAAGCCAGTGGCTGGCATTAAAACATGTTTAATGTTAGAGATTTGCCACCTAAGCTGCAGAAGGCTCTTTCCATCTCCAGTACATGGAGGGTTTTTGTGCAGTGCATGCTGTGTCTTGCTGCCTGTTTTGGTTTTCTGCACAGTAACCCAGGTATCTGATCATGCCCTTGCCCACATCTGCAGTTCTGAGGCTGCAGTGCTGTTGGAACTCTTGTTGCCAGGTTTCCTGCTGTGGTGCAGCCGCAGTAAATTCTACAAGCAGGGACTTGCCTTGCATGTTCCTTAAAGGAAAATGAATATGAGCTTCTAACTGTTTAAAGACAGAGTTAAGTGACCAGGATCTATCCTGTCTGAGCTGTATCAGATCTTGTGCTTGTACCAGTAGATGAACACATTTTCATTGTATCAGGCTTAGGAGCTGGGTTGCAGCTTAATTAATCCTTAATTCTCATGGCCTGAGGTCTGTGTCTTCCTTCCCACATGATGGGCAGCTCAGAGGCCAGTCCAGTGTCTTACATCACACTAAAGCTGTTTTAGAAAAAAAACTTAGAGAGGTGCTGTGGGTTAAAAAAAGGCTGTTTATCTTAACACTTCATTTTTTATCTTCTCTTTCTCCCATGTGTCTCTCCCTTCCCAGATTGAATTTGTGACTGGCACTAAAAAGGGTACAACAACAACTGCTGCTTCCACAACCACCACAACATCCAGCACCACTGGGGGAGGTAAAGAATAGCTGTGAATGTACCCTTTAAGCTGCAGTAATGCTGGGATTAGTGCTTCCTGAAGCCTGAAGGCTCCTTACTAATCCTGTAGATAATGCAAGGGAGTGTTTCTGCTGAGGGGTGTTGGACTAGCTCTCCTCTAGTTCCCTGTAGCCCATGGCTGTCCTTCTGGAATGGAAGACTGGGGCCAGGTGGGATAGTGAAGAGACTTACTAGTGGGTCAAGGAGCCTGCTGCTGTCTGTGGTTGAAGAGTATTCCCAGGACTCATAGATTTTGAGATTTGGAAACACAGGAAATCATTCTCCTGCCTTGGAATCTGAGGGGAGGGGACAAAAACCACTGGAGGCTGATGAGTGTGTCCAGTGCCTGTAGCTGAGCAAGTGGGATACATGAGCTCTGTTGAAATTAAATCTACTTTGGGGCAGGGAGTGATCCTGTCTCCCCTTTTGCTGGAGTTCAGGTGTGGAGTTCTACTCTGACTCCTGGTACCCCAAGAGAAAAGTTGCCTTTCCTCCTCACTGCTTACTGCCAGTGTATCCTGAAATTAGTGTAAGGGGAAGCTGTCTAGTCAAGCAGTGGGATATTAGGGGTTGACAAGACAGGGTGTTAAGAGGGGATTGGTGACCTCTAATGTAATGCTAATCCTTGTGTGCTTGGTTTAATGAAATTCACAGATGCCCAGAAGAGGAAGAGCAAGTGGGACTCTGCCATCCCCGTGACAACGATAGCTCAGCCCACCATCCTCACCACCACTGCAACACTGCCAGGTGTTGTCACAGTGACAACCAGTGCCAGTGGCTCCAAAACCACGGTGATCTCAGCTGTAGGCACCATTGTGAAAAAGGCCAAGCAGTGACTGCTGTGCTGGGCCTGGAGTCTTGGACTTGTTTGTCACCAAAGCCATTGTCCTTGGAAGGGAGGGGTGGATTTCTCCTTTGGGAAAAGATGACAAGATTCTTTGAAGCAGCCCACAGTTCCCCTTTGGAAGGCTGGGGGCAGGAGCAGGATGCCAGCTGTGTGCCCACAGGAATGGACCTCTGCCCACCATGCCTGTGGCTTTGCTTGCTGGGGGAAGACCCAGGCTGCCTGTGTTGTGCTGGAAGAAGATGGCATCTGGAATCAGCTTGTAAAAGTTTGCTTATTAATTACTGCATTGAGGTCTTACCTACCTGCAGGTTTGTTTTGGGGGGGAAAAAAAGAAACTCAATTAAAAGGGCAAGAAGTGAAAGACTGTCAGTGTTACCCCTGTGTGTTGCAGGTGGTGCTCCAGGGCTGCCTGCAGCCTGTGTAGGTGCCTCCCTCCAGAGTCAGCTCAGCTCTGAGGGAGTTGAAGCAGAGACAACCACTCAGTGTCCACGTCCAGATGTGTAGCAGAGACTTGAAGCAAACTCTGTGAGTGTAGGCTCACTCTTTGTTTTAGCACTGACAGCTGTACCCTGTGCTCTCTGTGTAGGTCTTTGTGACCACATGTGAAACTGTGCAACTCTTGAGGAAACTGTGCTGGAACATCCTGTTACCATCTCACAAGGATGGAGATGTCTATGCAGAACCCTCAAGCTCTAGAGGTTTGATTTGTGAGCTCACTTGCAAAGACCTGTGCAGAAACACTTCCATGGCCACGGAATGAGGTTGGACAGAAGCAGAGGAGAGTGTCTGATCCTGTTTGTGACGTTGTCCATCTTTGTTTTAGCTCATGATGTTCTGTGAATGCACACATGGCAGTTACTGCTTGCTCCACTGTTGTGAAAAAGTATTTTCAGTTGAAAATTTTGTTGAATAAAAATTGAAAAGTCTTTTTAAAAAGCCCCTGATGTCATTGATGTGTCTGCATTTCTTTAGAGTTAAATTTCTACTCAGAGCCTCTTTGTCCTAGTGTATAAAGCAGTGATAGGGGAGATGGTTGCCAGATCAGCAAAAGTGTAAGTTTGTGAGAATTCAGTGGTTTGGGGTTGCTTTTTCTTTTTTCTTTTTTTTTTTTTTTTTTTATTTTTTTTTTTTTTTTTTTATTTTTTTTTTTTTTTTTTTATTTTTTTTTTTTTTTTTTTATTTTTTTTTTTTTTTTTTTGGTTTGGGGGGTTTTTTTGTTTTGTTTTGTTTTTTTGTTTTTTATTTCAGTTTTTTCTGTAGCTTGTGTCAGTCCTGATCAAAACTTTGCATTTATGGAGACTTAAGGTAGAAACAACAAGTTGATATCCTGGCTTTAGATAATTTTAAAACATGTTAAACACGTTGTCCTGGTAGTCATTTAAGCTTTAAAAAAAAAAAAAACAAAAAAAAAAACCATCTGTGTATCCAGGACCCCTGGAGCAGCAGTTTCCAGACTCCTGCAGTAACAGCTTCTGCAAGAGATGTGCAGGACTGGGCTGTACTCTGGCAGTTCCCTCCTGAGCTCCCAGAAGTCAGTGTTTGCTTTCTGCAGAGAAAGCAGCTTGAACCAGGCATGATTTAGGTTTGGGTTTGGGGTTTTTCCACCAAAAAAGGTGGAGTGAGGATGCCAACCCCTGTATAACAAACTTGCAGCCAATAACTCACTGCTCTTGTTAGTCTTGCATGCTGTATCAAAGGTAATAAATGGATGGATACTCAGGTTGGAAACTGCAGTTCTGAGGGAAATGCCTTTTTCCCAGCTCTGAAAATGGCGTTGGACAGGTTGATGGCTTGCACTGGGCTGTGTCAGTCAGTGCCAGAGGAGCTGGAGGGAACACCAGGCACACAAGGGTGATGTCCTGAGGGAAAAGGATCCTTCCTGACCTGGGAACCATGCCCTGAAGCCCCAAAGAGGAGTTTGGGCTGGTTTGCTTTGGAGCTCTGGCTGTGAGCCCTGCTGAGTGTGTCAGGACTGCAGCTGTGCCCCGAGGCAAACCCAGAGCTGACACTGAGAAAAGGTTCCTTGTGCTGCTGCAGCAGTGACTGCTCAGGCTGCACTTGTGACTCAAAGCTGTAGATATTTGTTCTTACCTCTAATTCCAAAGGGATGCTAACCATAGCCAGGAGAGTAAAACCAGTCCCATTTTCATAATTCCACAGTCCAAGAGTTACAGTCTCTGCTCCTTGAACACCACAGGGCTTCTCTCTGCCTGTCTCCTTCCTAAGCAGGGATGTCTCGTAGCTCGAGGAGCTTTGTCTCAGCTGAAACTCCACGTTCAAGTCTGTGTGTCTGCCCCAGCAGAGGCAGGAGAGCTGCAGTAATGAACTCATCCTTGGCAGAGTCGCTTCTGCTCTCCCTCTCCCTTCTCAAGTCTTTTCTTCCACCTCCATGCCCCGAGGTGTTGATTTTCTCTCCTGTTTGCTTGCTGTACTTTAGAGACCTGCCCTCCTTTGATGCTGGTGTGGGAAGGGATTTTGTGTGTTCAGGACTCGCTTTTATTTTCTGTCTCACTGGGCGCTGCCGGGCCGAGGGAGCAGGTGGGGAGGGCAGCCCTTGCCAGCCCCACCTCAAACCGTGCAATGGGAGCACCTGAAGCTATGTTTTCCTTGGACTGCTGCTGCACTGTCTGGTTTATTGGGGAGTTATGCACTGAGATGAACAAAAAATGAAAGAAAGAGTCTCCCTTGCCAAGGCTTTGGGCCATGCCAAGGCTTTGCTGATGACAGCTCCCGCAGTGAGGGAGGTGGTGGCTGCAGCCAACACCTGCACAAGCTCCTTTCCAGCTCTTCTCCGTTGCAGGGGTGAAGTTAGCTCCTGTGAAGCCCCTCAAACAGGTGGGCTTTGTAATGTGCCCAGAGAGTCATCAAAGGAATGAGCTGCTCATTCCTGGGGAGTGGTGTGAGCCTGGGAAAGCCCAGAGTTGGTACCTGCAGGGAATCACAGGATGGGTGAGGCTGGAAGGGCTGCAGTGCCCCAATCTCCCTGCTCAGGCAGTTTTTCCTGGAGCACTTGGCACAGGGTTGTGTCCAGACAGTTCTGGAATATCTCCAGAGAGGCAGTGAGAAACGCAGATCTTCTCAGCAGGGCTCCCCAAAGCTCTCTAGTGTTAAAAGTTCAGGTAAATAAATTGCTGTGGAGGCTCAAGGCCCCCTGAAAGGGCAACAAAGTTCCACCAAAGTCTCCTCTTCCCTTTGAGGGGAACATTTACCTCAGCACATTCCTGCGTGGCTTTCACAGAGCAGGTTTCCACCTCTGAGCCTTCCCTGCACTGCTGTTCCTCTGTTTATATTCCACTTCCTTCCTTTTGTTCTGAGCGAGAGCCATGGACACCAATGACTTCCAGTCGCTGGTCTCTGTTTATTTGGAGCTTGGGCTGGGCTCGTGCTCTGTGCTGCCGGTAAACAGCAGAGCTCTGGGATCTCACAGGGAAAGGTTTTGCCTTTTGCATAGAAGACAGGGGTGTGCTCAGCCTCTGGCAGCTGGGTGAGGAGCTGATGGATCCCTGGAAGGCCCTGCTGTCCCCAGGTGGGTGACAGGAGTGTCCCAGGCTGAGGTTTTGTCCTGGATCCTTTACTGATGTTTTCCTCTGGTGCTGTCTCTGTGTCCCTCTTCCCTCTTGCTGCCAGTCTGTCCCAGAGGCAAATGTTCATCAGGGATGTTCATCAGAGAGATCTTCCTTTAGGAACCTGTTCATGACAAGGAACATCTACTGGAAAACAGGAGGCACTTGTAGCTAGTGCTGCCTTGGGGGAAAGGCTGAGGGAGAAAGTATGGCAGGATTTCATCTGGCACTTCTAATTGAACAGGGAATTATATTAAGCATCATTTAGTGCAATAAATTATGTGCACATTAATGTACATTCATAATACATTATTACACGTTCCCTTTATTTAAGCCACATAGCAGGGTATTGTCACTGCAGTGTACAGTGCAGTGATGGGATTAAGTGTTTATTTTTCTTTTAGTAATGTGTGTTGTTACAGAACTCAAAAAGGAGATGAATGTGCTCCAGCAGCAGGATTTTGGCTGTAACTGCACAATAAAGACCTAGAAAAAGCCCCAAAGCTGTCTCCAGGCATGCTGTGGTGGCAGGACAGAAAGAAGAAACGCTCTGTTGCAAGCTGGCATGGCATTAAAAAAAAAAGAAAATAATTAACCCTGAAATCACTTATAATTATCAGTAATTGGCACTCGGACTGGTAGTCAGCAGAGAGAGCAATAATTTCATGTGAGCTATAAAACTACATGTTTTCCCTCCTAGGGCAAAAATTTCTAGGCCACGTTGCCACCACAGAAAATCACTGATTTATGAATGCAAGATTCACCACAGATGTGGCTGTGAGCTGTGGTGGAGCCATCTGCACTGAAATCTGCTCACCCTGCATCTGAAATCCCTGTCCTCTGTTCTTAAAAACAGCAAATTAGTGTGACAAAAGCCTGATCCAGCAGGCAGGGAGAGCAAGGTATGGAACCAAGGCAAGAACTTGAGTTCACCTGGTGTTCTTCCCTGGTGGAAGTAATTTGGAGTTGCCTGAAAGACAACTCACTAACCAACCTTTCAATTTTTTTTAAAGACGTGATGAAGTTAAAACCTTTTATATTCTCGTGAGTATTTACAGAAAATTTCTAATTCCTCTCTGATTTTTTGCCCTAAACATTTGATGGTGAAGTTGCGTTTATATTAGAAAAGTGCCTTTATCAGCACTGCAAATGTAAAAGCAGCCTAGCTACAGCTCTGGAAAAACTCAGGTTCTGTGGGCTTGGCACTTCTTAGGTGCTGGGGGGACATGCTTCAAAGAAAGGTGCAGAATTGGTATCTTGAGCTCTTCTGGCAACACCCAGAGGGAGCAACTGGGCTCCTCCTCACAGCTGGAAAGGCTGGAGGGAGCTGGTCCCTCCTTGCTGCTCCAGGCTGCCGGGGTGAAGGGGAGGCAGAGGGTGTCAGGAAGCCCTGGGGCTGTCAGGGTCTGCAGGTGACACCAGAGATCCTTTACAGGGGGCAGCATAAACATTCTCCATCTCAGGAGGGGAAAGGAGGACACCCAGAAAGTCAGGGCTCCGAGTATTGTGGTGCAAGGTGGGTTCTCATGAGCTTTTCTGCTTGGCTTCAGGGTTCCTGTTAGGGATCCATCGCTAAAATAACTGGGTTTGTTTTTTGTTTTTTTGTTTTTTTTTTTTTTTTTACTACAATGTCTCTTGCAGCCTAAATTGGCTTTTCCAACTGCGGTGGTAGCATTGCTTACCTCAAAGAGGAAAATTGCAGCAGCAGGAGGTGGGGTGGGGCCGGTGGAAGCTGCTGGTGGACAGGACCAGGTGAGGTGACCAGACAGGTCTGTGAGCACCAGCACAAGCTCCCCTCCTGTCTTGGGGACTGAAGCCCAGTTTTAATTTATCTGCGGTGTTCAACATCTGCTGCAGCTGTGGCTCCTGAGGCAGAGCAGGACCCTCTCCCTTCATCCCCTCCATGGGAGCAATCTGCTCTTCACCAGCAGCTCAAGCATCAGCACTCACAGCCTGGTCCTGCTCTACCTTTATTTTGTCTCATGTCCCAGCTCTCATGTTGCAGTGTCTTGATATGTTAAACAAACAAACCACCAAAAAACCCAAAAACCCAAAACCCCAGCAAACCCCTTCATTTTTAGAACCATTTTTTTTAACTCTAGGAAATCACCAAAAGGACTGGAGTTGCCAAGATATGTGTTGGGAAACTCAGAAATGCCAGATTTAAACTGCCCGGGCCATCTTCCCCTGCACCCCTGCCTGTTTCCCATTTGCTGCAGTTTTTAATGGCACAGGCACATCCTCCTTTATCCTGGGGCTAAGGCAGTTTGCATATATTAACTTGAGCTTCCTAATTTCTTGTAGCAAAAGGAATCCTGCACCTCACCTTTCAATCAGTTCTGGAGAGCAGCAGCCTCTGTAATGCCACATTGA